CTCCAGAGGACTCTTCCCGGGAGGGACAGACCCCTGGAGGAGGCGGCACCTGGGGTTCTAAGTCCTGTAGACCCATCGCCCCTGCGAGGAAGTCTCTGGGGAACGAGTCCTGCCTCCAGGGGCTCGCTGGCTGCTGTGGAGGACAGGGTTCGCCTCCCCCTGCCCTTTGTCAGGTCTGACCAGACCCTGCCCCCTGCTCCCTGCTCCTCTGAGGCCCTGCGGGCCCCTCTCCCCTCTGTGCCTGGAGAACAAGTAGGCTGGTCTCAACTCACTCAGGTGCCACGCCCTGGGAAACATGGTGCTCTTCGGGAAAACCACACTTTATTGATTTATTTATCTTTTTATTTTTTAAAATATATTTTATTGATTTTGTACAGAGAGGAAGGGAGAGAGATAGAGAGTTAGAAACATTGATGAGAGAGAGTCATCGATCAGTTGCCTCTTGCACACCCCCTACTGAGGATATGCCCACAACCAAGGTACATGCCCCCAACCGACCGGAATCGAACCCGGGGCCTTTCAGTCCCCAAGCCAATGCTCTATCCTTTGAGCCAAACCGGTTTCAGCGAAAACCACACTTTAGACTTATAATAAAATAAGTATGTATCTTCATGGCACTTGCGTCATCTAGAGACACAATCTTCAGTATTTAAGAAAAATTCAGGGAAGACAAAGCAAATCCTATTTTTAAATGGTTACACCTATTATCCCCAAATGGGGAAAGACCTTCATTTGTGCAAACAGCGGGGTCCGTATTTTGTGCTGGCCCAGGAGGAGAGGCTGGCTGGTTGCTCGCACAGTTGCTTCTTCCAGTGCTGCCCTGGGGCCCAGGGTCATCCCTGTAACCTGGCCCTGGCCCTGTGCTCCCCCAGGCTGGCTTCTTCAAGCGGAATCGGCCCCCCCTGGAGGAAGACGATGAAGAGGAGGAGTGACGTGCACCAGGCGCCGTCCTGCAGGAAGGCGGCAGTGATGCCTGCTCTGCCGAGCGCCCCCAGCTCTGCTCGCCCCCAGGATGGAGCTCTGCATGGAGGCTCCTGATGTCTCCCCCTCCCAGCAGAGCCGGGACACCTCCTTTCTTGCTGCCAGATAAAGAGGCTGAGCCCCCACCCCAGTGTGTGCTTCCTTTTGGGGTTAGGGGAGGAGAGGGAACCTGGGGCTGCTAGACATGTGAGCAGACAGCATCTGTGAGGGCAAAGGGCAGATGACTGTCTTCGAGAGGTGTCAGGGGGTAACTGTGGGGGTGGGACAAGGGAGAAAGGGGGGCAGCACCTCCAGGTGAGACCGGAGGGGATGGAGGTGTTGGAGGATGGCGGGGAGGATGGCAGGGTCCCTGGTGGGCAGCTTTAAACATTGTTTTATGATTTTGAAGAGATAAACATCACGAAAAGAGCATGTTCTCCCCAGCTCCCATTTTTAAAAAAGCCTTTAAAGCTGTGTTCAGAGTGAGAAGGGGCAGAGAGGGAGGCTAAGCCCTCATCCTGAGGAAGGCAGTGTCGGAGGTGTGACTGTTTCTTCTCCCCCACCAAGGAGAAGTTAGGAAATAGGCGCCAGGCAGGAAGACCCCGGAGGGCCAGCAGGGGAAGGCACTGAGATTGGAGCAGGAAATAGTGGTGGGGGATCCACCTGGAGCCCTGAGAGACTTGTGGATTCATGTGTCCAATAAATACTTATTGAGCACCTACTATGTGCCTGACACCTTCCCAGTGCTGGGATGGAACAGGGAACAACAAAAAGACCCTGCCCTCATGGAACTTCCATCCAATCAGGGGCAAAGAGAAAGAAATCCTATGTAATAAAAGACTAATATGCAAATTGTCCCCGTGACCGGGAGTTCGACCAGAGAGCAGGGCCAGCCGGCCAACTGCCCACAGCCCCTTCCCCAAGGCTGGCAGCCAACAGCTGCTAGGGACCCTACCCGTGCACAAATTTCATGCACTGGGCCTCTAGTACATAAACAGATACATAAATGTATGGTCAGTGGTGGTTAGTGATTGGAATAAAAATAAAGATAGGGAGCTAGTGCTGAAACCAATTTGGCTCAGTGGATAGAGCATCGGCCTGCGGACTGAAAGGTCCCAGGTTCGATTCTGGCCGAGGGCATGTACCTTGGTTGCGGGCACATCCCCAGTAGGGGGTGTGCAAAAGGCAGCTGATGGATGTTTCTCTCTCATCGATGTTTCTAACTCTCTATCCCTCTCTCTTCCTCTCTGTAAAAAATTAATAAAATAATAATAATGAAAAAAAAGATAGGGAGCTGGTGATAGGATTACGTGGGTGCTGGGAGCAGGCTGACTTTATAGGCAGAATGTCAGAAAAGGCCCCTCTCATGAGGTGAGCGGAGACGTGAATGAAGGAGCCAGGTGGCTGCAGGGAAATAAAGGGCTCTGGGCAGAAAGAGCAGCCAGTGGAAGGCCCTGAGGGGGAGCAGGTTTGATGTGTTCAAGTAAAAGCAAGGAGGCCGGTGGGCTGGAGGCAGGTGAGGAACCCGGAGTGGGGTCAGTGGTGGGGGCAGCCAGGCAGCCCCTGTCACCCAGGAGAGAACTTTGGACTTGGTGCTTCGTGTTAGGGGAAGGCTTACCTCCCAGGAGCTGCTCCCCACGGGGAAAAGGCAGATTCTGAGCATAACGGAACCACTGGACTTCCATGCATGGGGAGTTCCAGAATAGGTTCCTAGCTGGGTGACTGAACACAGGAAAAGATTAAGCCGAGGTCCTTGAACACCAGCCAAGTTCCAGTCCCTCTGCCATTGCCATCGGATGGCCCCAGACGGTTTATCTTGATCAGCAGAGCATTTGGCGTTTGTCTTCAGATACACAAGACAGAAATGTGAGCCAGACGACAGAGACTCGGATTGAAAACTGGACAGTTTTGATAAAGCTGAAGGGTCATGTCTCGATGGGGGTGTCCCAAAGCTCCCTCCTAGCCCCGGGCTGCTCGGTGGGTCAGAGTCCCTTCACCCTGCAGGTGGCTGCTGGCCGAGAGCGGGCGCCAATGCGATGGGTGACTGAGGCGGAGGCAGGCAGCCCTGACAGATTGTAAAGTTGGGTCAGAACCAACAAGATGAAACACACTGGGGAAATTCACAGCTAAATCCTGTGTGAGGTTCCAACAGTTTGGTTACATAAGAATGGGAACTGGGAAATCTGGTTAGATGGAAATTTTCGAGAGGGGAAGGGAAAGGAAGAAAGACCGGAGGGAAAGAGGGAGGAAAGGAGGGAGGGAGGGAGGGAGGGAGGGAGGGAGGGAGGGAAGGAAGGAAGGAAGGAAGGAAGGAAGGAAGGAAGGAAGGAAGGAAGGAAGGAAGGAAGGAAGGAAGGGAACATTCGGTTGTTTCGTCCACAGTCTCAAAACAAGGTCCCCTTACTTCAGAAGGCCCAACCAGGAGAGAAGCACCAGCAGAGACGCCCATGCTCCTGAGGTCCTCGCTCTGGGTCTCCAGTCCCCACAGGGCACCACATTTTGAGAAAGAAAAGGCAACAAGCCAGAGAGAACCAGGAGAGGGATACCAGCTTAGATGAGGATTCGGCCACCCAGACACTGAGTGATGGTGACCATCAGAAACCGGAGGAGCCAAAACCGGTTTGGCTCAGTGGTAGAGCATCGGTCTGCGGACTGAAAGGTCCCAGGTTCGATTCCCGTCAAGGGCATGTACATTGGTTGTGGGCACATCCCCGGTAGGGGGTGTGCAAGAGGCAGCTGGTGGATGTTTCTCTCTTATTGACGTTTCTAGCTCTCTATCCCTCTCCCTTCCTCTCTGTAAAAAATCAATAAAATATATTTTTTAAAAATAAATAAAAATAAAAGCTGAATAATTATTAAGAAAAAGAAAAAAAAAGAAACCGGAGGAAAGAGAGCTTGGCTGGGGCAAGAGGGCCGGCCAATTGCTCCCTTCCAAGGTGAGGTTCCAGGGCTGAGGAAGAAGGAAAAGACTCAGATCGTCATTCATGAAGCACAACCAGCGAGACCGCCGGCGATTCTCATTGGCACCTCTCATTCTCCACCTCTAGAACCTCCTGATCGTTAGGACAGCCCTTATTACCTGGACAAACAGCAGCACCTGGTTGGTCAGAAATGTGCTAGATCCTTTACCACACCACTCACTTTATTATTTTTTTAAATTATATATATTAGAGCCAACTGCGTTTATTCTTAGTAGTGGACTGCAGATGATTATTTTGTATTGGAGAGCTAATATATTTATCCTGATTTAGTTTAGTAAATATTTTTTATTGATCTTTTTACAGAGAGGAAGGGAGAGGGATAGAGAGTCAGTAACATCCTTGGGAGAGAAACATCGATCAGCTGCCTCCTGCATCCCCCTCACTGGGGATGTGCCCACAACTAAGGTACATGCCCTTGACGGGAATGGAACCCGGGACCCTTGAGTCCGCAGGCCAAACCCGCCAGAGAACAAGTCTCACTTTAAAGGAAGGCTAAGTAACTTGCAAACAGCTTAAGAGGAGACAAGAGCCAGACAAGAAGCGGACGGATTCCCAGGGGGCTGCGCCCTCTCTCCCCCGCCCTTCGGGGATGCCTGTGCGGAGTGGGAGCAGTAAAGCAGGCAGTTCTTACACTTTCTGGAGGCGCTCATGACCATGGTACCCACCTATCTGAGTGTTCTGCAAGCAACGGCCATCCCCCCGTCCCCCCAAAAAAATATGCACCAGATTTCGGGAACTCTGGAACTTCAAGCGCCCTGGCGACTGGACCCCCCATTCGATGCCCTCCCTTGCGGCTCCGGGTCTGGAGCGCAGGGTGGGAGCCGCGGGCGGGCTGAGCCCACGGAGGCGGCGGAGGGGGCGCAGGGGGCGGTGCCGGAGGACCGTCGGGCGGGGCGCCGCCGGCAGGGGGCGCTGGCGGGGGCTCCGGGCGGAGACAATCGCCGGAGCGGCCGCCGCAGCCAGAGCGGGAGCCCGAGCCGCGCCGGGCCGGGCTGCGCGGGGCCGGCCGAGCGGGGCCGGCGGGAGCCATGGGCCGCTAGGGCCGGGCCGCGCCCCGCGATGCCGCCGCCGAGCGGCCCCGGCGTCCTCGCGCGGCTGCTCCCGCTGCTGGGGCTGCTGCTCGGCGGCGCCTCCCGGGCGCCCGGCAAGTCGCCGCCGGAGCCCCCCAGCCCGCAGGGTGAGTCCGGCCGGGAGGGGCGCGATCGCCCGCCGGCCCCGCCCGCCCCGCCGCCCGCCGCGGCCCCTCTGCGCGGCGCTCGCGGACCGGGCCGTGCCGCTCCGGGTTTGGGTGGGGTGGAGGGCGCCCCGGGTCCGGAGCCGCGGGGCAGAGGGCCTCCGGGAGGGGGTCTCGGGGAGACACAATGGGGCGGGCGGGGTCCCCGGCTCCGCGCCGCCGCCCACCTCCTGCCTGTTTTCCTCCCTCCGGTCCGCGAGGCGCCGCCGCCGGAGCCATTGTCTGCGGAGACACCCGCCCAGGGGCGGGCGGGCGGGCGGGCGCCCCCGCAGCCCCGCGGCCGCCGCGCTCCGCCCGGGGGGGGGGGGCGGCTCCGGCTGCCGCCCGCCCGGGCCTCCGGGGCTGGGCGCCCGGAGCCCCCTGTGACGGGGCGAGGGGAGGGGAAGGCGTGAGGCTGGGGTGGATGGACTGTTCGAACGGGTCCTTCGCCTTGGAGCCTGACAGCCCCCAGCCGGCCCCCAGGGTTGGATTTTTGGGGTGCACCAAAGCGGCGCTGCTGATCGCGTGAAAGAGAAGGGGCTGGAGTTGGGGGGCTCTGGGAAAAGGGGTGCATTGTGGTTCCCAGCTCAAAGCGCATGGCAGGGCTGTGGCGGCGGCGCCTGCTGAGCTGGCTGCTGGCTGTGGGCAGGGCCGCTGGGAGGGCAGGTGCCTGGGTCCCCAGTCCGCTCCCAGGTCACCCCCTCCTCATTTCACCCCTCCCCATCTCACCCCCTCTTCATCCCACCCCCTCCCCATCTCTCCATCCCAGTGGAGGACCCCCCGCCCCACGACTCTCCGGGCCCAGGTGGGTGTGTGAGGTGGGGGTGGGGTCGGCTTCTGCAGCGGCAAAGGGTGGGAGAGCTAGCCGATTGCTTCCTCCCTAGCTTGGGCTCTCAGGGTGCCCCACCCACTCCAGCCCTGCACCCCTATCTAGCCTCCTGCCCGCACCCCCACCAGCTACTGCTCTCCCCCTCCCCCCTGCCTCTGGGCCCCATCCCCGCCCGAACCTGAACGGGGCTCCCGGCTCCTCACTTCCCCACCGAGGAGCCGGCAGGAAAGGCAGGGTGGGGGCGTCTCCGTGAGGGAAGTGGGGTCCGGATGAAGGGAGGGGGTCGGATTTCCTCCTGGAAGGAGGCAGGGCCGAGCGGGGAGCAGCGGATACTGTGTGGAATGCCAGGCCTCTGGCCTCAGTCTTCCTGGGAGAGGAGAGCTCGGATGGCTGGGAATGGGCCCTGGTCCTCAGACAGCTTTTCCCAGCCTGCACCCGGGGAGGGGCCAGCGGACTGGCTGGCATGGAGCCAGGATCAGGGCCCGCCCAGAATGCTGTCTGCAAGCCAGGTGAGGGTAGGGGGAAGTGTAGACACCTACCCCCTCACCCCCAGTTTGTTCTGGTACCTTCTTCAGGCCTCACCTACCCACCCCTGTTTTGCTCCCCGGCTCGCTCCCAAGGCATTCCGTCAAATGACCGTAGTCCCTAATCCTGGGTCCCCTTTTCCCAGCTGCTCTGTCCAGCTGCTCCCAGCCTGGGGATCGGGGAGGGAATGGCCAGGCCCTCCAGCTTCTCAGAATTCCTGCTGGGCGGTGGAGGGGAGACTGCCAGTTCCCGGGGACCAGAAAGGAAAGGGTCTAGCCTGTGCACACCCCGCAGAACTGGCTTTGGCTCGGAGAGGGCAGGGCAGTGGGCTCAGAACAGCTGGATGGGATTCCGGGGGCAGGCGCGGCCCTGGGCCTGGGTGGGAAGCCTGGGATGAGACACCTGTCACCGCTGAGTATTAAGCTCTGCCCGGGAGGCCCCTGACCCTCAGCCGCCTCCACATCTCCTAGCTCTTCCCTTTGGATCAGGACTCCCCTAGTTTTGTGTCCAGCACCCAAGCCCCTCCCACCTGCCTCCTGGGGCTCAGACTTGGGTCTCTGTGCCTTTCCAGGCCTGACCCCTCCTCTCGTTATTAGCAGCAAGGCAGGGGGGAGGCATGTTCTCTTATATATATATTATTGATTTTCCAGAGGGATAGAGAGCTAGAAACGTCGATGAGAGAGAAACATCGACCAGCTGCCTGCTGCACACCCCCCACCAGAGATGTGCCCGCAACCGATGTACATGCCCTTGACCGGAATCGAACCTGGGACCTTTCAGTCCGCAGGCCGACCCTCTATCCACTGAGCCACACCGGCTTTGGCAGGCATCCTCTTGAGGAGGGGGCCGCCCTGAGTGAGAAGGGGTCGATGTGCCCTGGATCAGAGAGGCTGCCTGGGAAATCCCTGAGAGCAGATCTAGGCCTGGTTCCTCCCTCCCCCATCGCCCCACCTGAGATCAGGGCGCCTGCGGGGCCGTGCCAGCTGGACCTGCCACGGGCGAGGGGCAGAGCTGGCTGGAAAGCGAGGGACTCGGACTTCTCTTCCGGCCCCTCCATGCCAGCGTCCCTTGGGCCTGGGTCTCCTCCCCTCCCCCAGTCTCTTTCCCTCGCCAGGGCCCCAGCTCCCTGCCCATCCTCCGGGAGGAATGGAGGCGTTGCCGTGGTGACCGGCTTAGCTGACCAGCTGGGAGGGGGCCAGCAGTGCACTGAGGAGGAGGGGTCAGGAGGCACGTGTCGGGGTTTCGGTTGGAGTGAGTCCCTAAGTCTGAGGAGAAACAGGTTTGTGCAAAGAGTCCTCAGAGTGGATGAATGGTGGGAATGACCCATTCCCTGGAGTCCCCTTCTCAGTTTCTTCCTGAGAACCCCAACTCTGACCCAGCACCCCATCCTCTCCTCCAGATGGCTGAGTCCTGAGCTCGCTCCTGTCCGCGGGTAGCCTCTGGCCCTCCGCATATTCCTTCTTTCTCAGCCCTCCCTTCCCTCTCTTCTCCCTGACGCCAGCCCCAGAGGGTCCAGTGGTTAAGAATTTAGGTCTAGCCGAAACCAGTTTGGCTCAGTGGATAGAGCGTCGGTCTGCGGACTGGGGGGTCCCAGGTTCCATTCCGGTCAGGGCCGTGTACATTGGTTGCGGGCACATCCCCGGTGGGGGGTGTGCGGGAGGCAGCTGGTCTATGTGTTTCTCTCATCGATGTTTCTGGCTCTCTGTCCCTCTCCCTTCCTCTCTGGAAAATCAATAAACTATATTAAAAAGAATTTAGATCTAGAAGTCAATGCCCAGGTTTGGACCTCCCACTTAACTGTAGTACAGATATATGAATTCTTTGAGCCTCAGTTTCTTTGTCTGCAAAATGGGCTAACAGCCTGTCTTATCAAGACTAATACATCATCGACTGGGAGATGCACCATTATGTCATGTGCCAGTAGGAAAGGGAAAAAAACGCTGCCAAGTATAATTGTGACAGAACCAACCACAGGCACAGTCTGAATTCGGAAATGTTAAATGTGGGGAAGTGCGTGTGTGAGACTAGCCTTGATGAAATGGTGCCAACTGCCTCACAGGCTGATGTGACGTGTGAGGGCTCTGTAAACGCTAGCTTTTATAATGTCTTATCTAGCCCTCGCCCCAAGGCGGCTCCCCGCCCCTCTGGCCTTGAGGCTCCCCCAGTTCTCTCTTCCTCCCTTCCCCCTCCTCACTCTCCTCCCCTCATCCTGCCCGCAGAGATCCTGATCAAGGTGCAGGTGTACGTGAGCGGGGAGCTGGTGCCCCTGGCCCAGGCCTCGGTGGACGTGTTCGGGAACCGCGTGCTGCTGGCCGCTGGCACCACGGACGCCGAGGGCGTGGCCACGCTGCCCCTCAGCTACCGCCTGGGCACCTGGGTGCTGGTCACCGCCGCCCGCCCCGGCTTCCTCACCAACTCCGTGCCCTGGCGCGTGGACAAGCTGCCCTGTGAGTGCGGGGGCGGGGGCGGGGGCAGCAGCTGACCCCATCCTCCCCTTCCCAAAATAGCCCTGGGGGCGGAGGGCGTAGGCTGTCCAGCAGCTGCTGCCCGGCCTGGGGGGCGAGGAGGGGGCTGAGGGGGGAGGGAGGCCCCTGCCTGGGTGCGGGCAGGGCCTCTCCCCGGAGCTCACAGGCCCCCCTCCCGCAGTGTACGCCTCCGTCAGCCTCTACCTGCTCCCCGAGCGGCCGGCCACCCTCATCCTCTATGAGGACCTGGTGCACATCCTCTTGGGCTCTCCAGGTAAGGCTCCCGCCTCCCTCCCTTCCCCCTCCCTCCCAGCTCCTCCTCCTCCTGCCCGGCCCTGAGCACAGAGAGCTCTGCCCTTCCAGTCTCGCCGGGTGCCCCCGGGCAAGTCCCTTAGCCTCTGGCCCTCAGTTTGCTCATCTCTAAGATGTGGATATGGATAAAGACTGAGTATTGTCGAGCCCGTAAAAAGCAGCACAGGTGGCCAATACATGTTCCCCGTGATTTCTATTCTCCCTCTCCTCCTGCCAGTAGCATGCCCACACCCTGCCACCTGTATCTCAGCGGGTCACCGGGTCCTTGTTGTGCACCTACTGGGTGCAGGGCCGTGTTAGAAGACATGAGAGGGTCATGCCAGGGCACTGAGTGCCGATGGAGGGCGAGGCCTGGAGCAATCCGCCGGGGCCCTGGTGCACCTACGAGCTTTCAGTCTCGTTCGGCTGAGACTGACCGCAGCACCGAGGCTGCTCGGGGCCCTGAGTCTGGTGCTGGGGATCCATTCCCTGCCTCGTGGAGTTCACGACAAGTAGAAAGATGCACAAACAGGTTACCCCTGACAGTGGCAGAGCAGGTGGGATGGTGGAGCAGAGGGTGGCTGCGTTCAACACGGAGAACAGCCCAGCCTGTGAGTGCTGCAGGATGGGAGCATTGAGTGGAGGGAGCTGCGGGACTGAACGGACTTGGGAGTTGAAAGCGGAGGAAAGGACCTTCCTCTCCAGACCTTCACTGGAAAGGAGGGTCTGGGGAATCTTCCAGGTGCAGGGGCAGGAGGAAATGCTCTGGCCCAGCAGAAGGGAGAGGGACAGGGGTTGAGCATTGACCGAGGAGCCAGGGAGTCGTGGTTGGATTCCTGGTCGGGGCATACATGCCCGGGTTGCCGGCTGGATCCCTGGTCTGGAGCGTGCAGGAGGCAGCCGTCAGCGATTCTCTCTCATCATTGATGTTTCTCTTTCTTCCTCTTTCGAAAAGGAAGGGGATGCTCCGGTCTGGCTGTGCAGAGGGGCACCCAGTGCAGGCCGGTTGATGAAGCCTGGCAGAGGGGAGTCTCCGTCTAGTCAGTACTAGGGAGCCACCCTGGGTTTTGGAGTGAGAGAAGCCCCTCCTCAATTATATCCTTTTCCCCCAAATTACCCATTGGTTCTTCATCATTTATCTGATCCTGAAATCAGAGGCTTCTAAAAAAATTCTTTGGAGGTTTCTTTTTAAAAACGTATTTCTTTTATTGACTTCAGAGAGAAAGGAAGAGGGGAAGAGAGATAGAAACATCAATGATGAGAAGGAATCTTTGATCAGCTACCTCCTACATGCCCTAACTGGGAATCAAACCATGACCTCCTGGTTCATAGGGTCAACATTCAACCATTGAGCCACACTGGCCGGGCGGGAAGTTTCTAAAATGCCAAAGGAGCCCAGCCGGTGTGGTTGAGGCCACAGTTTGATTCCTGGTCAGGGCACATGCCCTAGTTTGGGGGCTCAATCCCAGTAGGGGGCATGCAGGAGACAGCTGATCAATGTTGATATTTTTCATGGAAGTTTTTCATTGATGTTTCTATCCCTCTCCCTTCCTCTTTCTAAAAATCAATAAAAACGTTTAAAAAATCAAAATAAAATGCCAAAGGAACCCTTTATTGCTTCCTACCTTAAAGCCTCCCACAGCTCCCACTGTTTCAGTATAAAGCCTAGTCTCTTTCACAGCCTGACCACGCCTACTGGGACCTGACCTGCCCCTATCCCCCCCCCCCATCACCTGGAGGCTCCTGACCAACAAGCTGCTTAGAGTCTTTCTCCTGGCAGTCCTGGCAGCTCCTTTCCACTCTCATTCCTGGCCGTCTCATCCTGCAGGGTGCCCCGGGGCCTTCGGAGCTGGGCGGCGAACTCCGCTTGCGCCCTGCCCCCCCCCCCCCGTTATTGTAATCGTGGGCAGGACAGGACAGTGGTGACAGGATGTGTCCTGGCACCGAGCTCCGTAGGCTCCAGGATTGTAACCTGAGCAAGTTACTGACCTTGTCCCACCTCCATTTCTGCCTATAAAATAGGGTCGATGGTAAAGATACCTATGTCAGGGGCTGTTGTGCTAATGACAGGGTTTTTTTGTGTGTGTTTTTTTTGTGTGTGTTTTTAAAAATATATATTTTATTGATTTTTTACAGAGAGAGATAGAGAGTTAGAAACATCAATGAGAGAGAATCATCAATCAGCTGCCTCTTGCACAACCAAGGTTTATGCCCTTGACCGGAATCGAACCTGGGACCTTTTAGTCCGCTGGCCGACACTCTATCCACTGAGCCAAACCAGTTTTGGCTAATGACAGGGGTTTTAATGTAGATATTAACCTGCTTAGAACAGTACCCAGGATATCAAAGCTTAATAAAAGTTACTATTACCTTATTGTATCAGAATTTTGTTTCACATCCTCTCCACCCCAAGGCAGGCGGACAACACGCAGAGCCTAAGCTGTCTAATGCAATAGCTACTAGTCACATGTAGCTATTTAAATTTAAATGAATTAAAAATTTGTTAAACTTTTTAAAATGAAAAATAAATCCAGTTCCTGAGTCACACACTACACTGGCCTCATTTCCGGTGCTTAGTAGCGTGTCTGTGGGCACTGTTGTGGGCACCACAGATGTGGAGCATGTCCATCCACCACAGCCGAAACGGGCACCCTAACAGACCGCACCACACTGGACTGTGAACTTGAAGGCCGGGAATAGTGACTTGTATCTCATTCATTTTTGTATCCCCGGCACTTAACAAGCGCCTGCCACACTGTAGACAGCAATTGTTTGAGGACCTGAACCTCATCTCTTTTTTTTTTTTTTTTTTTTTTTTTTTTAATATATTTTATTGATTTTGTACAGAGAGGAAGGGAGAGAGATAGAGAGTTAGAAACATCGATGAGAGAGAGTCATCGACCAGCTGCCTCTTGCACACCCCCTACCGGGGATATGCCCGCAACCAAGGTACATGCCCTTGACTGGAATCGAACCCGGGACCCTTCAGTCCCCAAGCTGACGCTCTATCCATTGAGCCAAACCTGTCTCGGCGTGAACCTCATCTCTTTATAGGCTAACTAGAGGCCTGATGCATGAAATGCACAAAGGGGCTTGGCCCTCGTAGCCCCAGCTTCGTCTGGAAGGTTGTTCAGCTGTCCGGTCTAATTAGCATATTATTATAGCATATATATGCTTTCATTATTATAGACTAGAGGCCTTGGTGCATGAAAATCCATGCACTGGAGAGGGGATCCTTCAGCCCAGCCTGCCCCCGTCACAGTCCAGGAGCCCTCAGGGGTGGAAGGCGACCCAGCGATCAGGGGAAGACAATGCTCCCATCACACCTCTGCTGCTGCCACTGCCGGCAGCGCAAGCCTCGGGCAGCCCTGGGTGGCTGGGCAGCTGCCATCTGAGGCTTGCCTGTACCTCAGGTCGGCCCTGAGCAGCTGAGGAGACTGGAAGATTCCCAAGGCAGGCACATGGAGCGGCCAGACCTGCCGGGCTGAGGGACTGGGCACCACCATTTTGTGGCTGTGGGCGCTGCCATCTTTGAGGGTGTGACAACAATTAGCATATTCCCTCCTTCTTGACTGCTATCTTTGTGAGGGCATGATGGTCAATTAGCATATTCCCTCTTCATTAGATAAGGAAACTGGTTCAGAGAGCAACTTGCTCCAGGTCACACAGCCAGGACTAGGGCTGTGGTCCACATCCCTTCCAAATTCACGTTCTAGGACTGCCCAGTTTTCTCCCAGGTCCCCACCCTCCCTCCCTGGCCTCCTGAGCAGCCTGACCCGCTGGCTCCCCGTCTCCTCAGACACCTGCTTTCTGCTCTGGTCTCCGGGCAGCCATGTCCCTGGCCAGGCCACTGCAGCCCCTCCTCTCTCCACCAGGCGCCCGCTCCCAGCCCTGGGTGCAGTTCCACCGGCGGGCTGCCCGCCTGCCCGTCAGCTCCACCTACAGCCAGCTCTGGGCCTCGCTCACCCCCGCCAGCACCCAGCAGGAGATGCGGGCTTTCCCTGCCTTCCTGGGCACCGAGGCCTCCGGCTCAGGTACGCTGGCTGCCGGACATGGGGGGTGTCCCCCGCCTTGAGGGCTTGTCCCTCAGCTCCGCGTCCCCTCCCCCAGGCAATGGCTCCTGGCTGGAGCTGGTGCCCCTGGCTGCGGTGAGCGTGCACCTGCTGACGGGCAACGGGACGGAAGTGCCCCTCTCGGGCCCCATTCACCTGTCTCTGCCTGTGCCCTCCGAGCCCCGCGCCCTCGCCGTGGGCACCAGCATTCCGGCCTGGAGGTTTGACCCCAAGAGTGGTGAGTGCCTCGGGGAGTTGCGGGGGGCTGGGGGCTGGGGACAGAGACTCAGAGGGGAGGACATTGACTCTGACGCAACCCCCGCCTCTCCCAGGGCTGTGGGTGCGGAACGGCACTGGCGTGATCCGGAAGGAGGGCCGGCAGCTCTACTGGACCTTTGTCTCCCCGCAGCTGGGGTACTGGGCGGCGGCCATGGCCTCCCCCACGACCGGTGAGAGTGTGGCAGGGGGGCCAGGGGGCAGCGGGCGAAGGGGAGGCTGGGGGAGCGGATCTCTTCTGAAAGGCAGCAAGGGCATCCGCACCGGGAGCCCTAAGCCCTCGCCTGGCACAGGCCTGGTCACCATCACAACAGGCATCCAGGACATCGGCACCTACCACACCATCTTCCTGCTCACCATCCTGGCAGCCCTGGCCCTGCTGGTGCTCATCCTGCTGTGTCTGCTCATCTACTATTGCCGGTGAGCGAGACCCAGACCCCCCCTTCCCTCCTCCCATGCCGACGGGGGCCTGCCCTATGCCTGGCCTTGTGTGGGGTGCTCAGGCCTCTGAAATGCATAAGAGCACAGACTGCCGAAACCGGTTTGACTCAGTGGATAGAGCGTAAGACTGAGGACTGAAGGGTCCCAGGTTCTATTCCGGTCAAGGGCATGTACCTTGGTTGCGGGCACATCCCCGGTGGGGGGAGTGTGGGAGGCAGCTGGTCGATGTTTCTCGCTCATCCATATTTCTATCTCTCTATCCCTCCCCTCTCCCTTCCTCTCTGTAAAAAATCAATAAGATATATTTTAAAAAAAGAAAAAAAGCACAGCCTGATCTTCAAAGCACTGACTGGAAAGCAGGGCGTGCGCACAGGCAGAGACCGAAAGGCTGGTGGCCTGAGAGAAGTGGGAGAGGAGGCAGGAGCTGCGGGGCAGGCCCCACAGAGACACCCAGCCCAGCTCTCACCCCCATAGGACCCCGGGCTCGGACCTCCTCCCTGGTGCTCATGCATCTCCTACCGCAGGAAGGCAGGGTACCCTGAAGGGACCCAAATGGGCACAGCTGCTAGCTATGCCTCCCACTGACATACAAGCTCCTTCACTAGCTTCCCCAGGAGTGTGTGTGTGTGTGTGTGTGTGTGTGTGTGTGTGTGTTTGGGTGTTTTAGTCCCAGGCATTGTCTCCATCCTTCCAGCTATTTCAACCCCTCCTCTTTTTTTTAATATATTTTATTGATTTTTTTTACAGAGAGGAAGAGAGAGGGATAGACAGAAACATCGATGAGAGAGAAACATCCATCAGCTGCCTCTTGCACACTCCCTACTGGGGATGTGCCGCAACCAAGGCACATGCCCTTGACGGGAATCAAGCACGGGACCTTTCAGTCCGCAGGCCGATGCTCTATCCACTGAGCCAAACCCCTCCTCTTGCCGCTGTGGGCAAGGGAGCTGCTCCGGCGGGACCCTTTCCTGAGGACCCGTCTGCCTTCTCTGCAGGAGGCGCTGCCTAAAGCCCAGGCAGCAGCACCGCAAGCTGCAGCTGTCTGGGCCCTCCGAGGGCAGCAAGCGAGACCAGGCCACCTCCATGTCCCAGCTCCATCTCATCTGCGGGGGGCCCCTGGAGCCCACCCCGCCGGGGGACCCCGAGGCGCCTCCCCCGGGCCCCCTGCACTCCGCCTTCTCCAGCTCCCGCGACCTGGCCGGCTCCCGGGATGACTTCTTCCGCGCCAAGCCGCGCTCCGTCTGCCGTCCGGCCGCCGCCGAGCCCGCAGGCGCCCGCGGGGGCGAGGGCGCGGGGCCGAAGGGCGCCCGCTCCGCGGAGGGCGCCGGCGGGCTGGAGCCGGGCCTGGAGGAGTACCGGCGGGGGCCCCCGGGGGCCGCGGCCTTCCTGCCGGAGCCGCCCTCGCCGCCGCCGCCCTTCGAGCACTACCTGGGCCACAAGGGGGCGGCCGAGAGCAAGGCGCCCGACTTCCTGCTGTCGCAGTCCGCGGACCAGCTGGCGCGGCCGCCGCTCGGCCAGGCGGGGCAGCTCATCTTCTGCGGCTCCATCGACCACCTCAAGGACAGCGTCTACCGCAACGTCATGCCCACCCTGGTCATCCCCGCGCACTACGTGCGCCTGGGCGGCGAGGCGGGGGCCGCGGGGGCGGGCGACGAGCCCCTCGCCCCCGAGGGCACGGCCCCCGGCCCGGCGCGCCCCTTCCCGCAGCCCGACTCGCAGCGCCCGCTGATGCCGGGCCACGCGGGCGCGGGGGGCGAGGGCGGCGGCGGCGTGGGCGGCGGCGGCGGCGGCGAGGGCTGGGCCGGCGGGCGCTCGGCGCCGGTCAGCGGCTCGGTCACCATCCCCGTGCTGTTCAACGAGTCCACCATGGCGCAGCTCAACGGGGAGCTGCAGGCGCTGACGGAGAAGAAGCTGCTGGAGCTGGGCGTCAAGCCGCACCCGCGCGCCTGGTTCGTGTCCCTCGACGGGCGCTCCAACTCGCAGGTGCGCCACTCCTACATCGACCTGCAGGCGGGCGGCGGCCGCAGCACCGACGCCAGCCTGGACTCGGGCGTCGACGTGCACGAGGCGCGGCCCGCGCGCCGCCGGCCCCCGCGCGAGGAGCGGGAGCGGGAGCGGGAGCGCGCCCCGGCCGCCGCCCCGCCGCCGCCGCCCGCGCCCCCGCGCCTGGCGCTCAGCGAGGACACGGAGCCCAGCAGCAGCGAGAGCCGCACGGGCCTCTGCTCCCCGGAGGACAACTCGCTGACCCCGCTGCTGGACGAGGTGGCGGCCCCCGAGGGCCGGGCGGCCACGGTGCCCCGCGGCCGGGGCCGCAGCCGCGGGGACAGCTCCCGCAGCAGCGCCAGCGAGCTGCGCCGCGACTCGCTCACCAGCCCGGAGGACGAGCTGGGCGCCGAGGCGGGCGACGAGGCGGGCGACAAGAAGAGCCCGTGGCAGCGGCGCGAGGAGCGGCCGCTGATGGTGTTCAACGTCAAGTAGCGCCGCCGCCGCCGCCCCCGGATCCGGCCCCGCCCGCGGGTTTGGCGCTGCCGGGCCCGTCCCCGGGGTGCGCACCCCGAGGAGCTGCGGGGGCGCCCGCCCTTAGCGCTGGCTGGGGCGGGAGAGGCGCCCGAGGCCCGCGGAGCCGGCGGTGCTATGTGCTGGGTAATGATGGATGGCCTGGGAGGGACCCCAGGTCTGTCTCCGCGAAGGGAAGGCGGTGGGAGGGGTCCAGGCCCCCGTTGGGAGGCGCTGGGGAGGAGGGAGGAGGGGGGCAAGCAGTGCCTGTATAAACGTGGCTGTACATAGAAAGTTCTATTGTGAGGAAGCAGGAGGGGCGGCCAGGCCTGAGCGCTTGGTAGGCGGGCTGGGAAGGGAGGGGGGGTTCTCTGCCGTGGACCCCTGGGAAGGGGGGGTGGCTGCTTGCTGACGGGCCGGCCTCGCTGGGCCACCGAGGCCCAGGGCTAGAGGCTGGGAGGCTCTGGGGAACGGGAGGATGGGACTGGGCCGCTGTGGGCAGCAGCAAATATAAAACTGGTGAGATTAACGCTGTGTGTGTCTGTGCGGTGGAGGGGATGTGGGTGCTGGATGGGGGGGACCCTTGGAGATCGAGGCGAGGGCAGGCACGGTGGCCGAATCAGACACCACTGAGAAAGTGTACAAACTTTATTGGAACACATATACACACACGCACACACATACACACACACCTGTGGATAGGGAAGAGCACCTGGCCACAGGGTCTGCAGAAACCGGGAGAGAGAATGGCAGCTTGTAACGTGGCTTTGGCCACAGCTCCCCGAGTGACAGGGGAGGCCTTAGATGGGGGCCCCCCTCAGTGACGGGGGACTCCGATGGAGAGTCCAGGAGAACGTGGTGGGGAGAGGTGACAGGAGGCCTGAGCAGCGGGTACCCTCTGAGCGGGGTCCCTGGAGTGTCTGGTGCCCAGTCTCCTCACAGCAGCTCTCGTGGGGCTGGGTCCCTCTGAGGGGCGTCCCAGCGCAGCATCTCCCTGCGCAGGCACTTGGTGCCCCTGACCCCGCAGTGGAAGCCAGCAGGGCAGCAGTGACGCTGGTCGGCACAGCAGATGCCCTGCGTGGTCAGGGGAGGGCACGAGGGTTAGAGCAGGACCTGGCCAGGCCCAGACCAGACCCGGGGCGGGGGGGGGGGTGGGGGGGGCGGCACTGACCTGGCGATAGGGACAGCAGGCCCAGCTCCCGCGGCTGTCTCGGCAGCAGGTCTGGTTATCGTGGCAGAAGCGGCCCTGTCCACACTCCACGTCCCCCACGCCCTCAGGAAGGCCCAGGGGCAGGTGGGCAGCGTCCACCGCCTTCTCACAGGTCCGGGCCTTCACGTTGCAGGTGTACCCATTGGGGCAGCAGTGCTGGCGGTCCTCGCAGCACACAGCCTGGGGGGACAGAGGGGCGTTAGGCTGTCCCCTTCGCCCCCAGGGCTCGGCCCCCCTCTCCGGGGGGGGGGGGCAGGCAGGCAGGCGGACACTCACGTGGGGCAGCCGGCAGCAGGCCCAGCTCTTGCTCAAGCTTTGGCAGCAGGTCTGCCCCACGGGGCAGCTGGTGTGCTTGTCACAGTCCGTGTCGTTGCGTTGGGACGAGGAAGCCCGGGAGGCGGGCACCTTCTCCAGACCCGCCACGATCCGGTTCCCCCTCTGACACTGCCCCCCAGCCAGGCACGTGTAGCCCTGGGGGCAGCAGTGCTGGTGGTCCGAGCAGCAGACGGCCTGGCGAGGGGAGAAAGGGGCGGACGAGTGACCTAGGAAGCCATATGCTCTGTGGGGTGAAACCCTGAGCCCCCCTCCCCTTCTGCCTCTCCGCTCGGCTCTTCCAGCGGGAACGAGATCTCTGGGAGCCAGGAGAGAGCAGAGGAGCAAGGTCACAGGAGTCTGGCCACCAGCCCAGGTCCCCCCAATGCTACCCGGGTACCCATGCACCTCGGGGGCAGGACAGCAGCCCCACTCTCCAGTCGTGAGTTTGCAGCAGGTAGTGGAGGAGGGGCAGCTGGTGACGTCATCGCAGGGCACATCGCTCCCCGCGGCGCGGGAGCCTGGCGGGCTGAGGCGGGCGGGTGTCCGCTCCAGCCAGGGCAGCGGGCGGCCTTCCTGCTGACAGGTGCGCTTCTCGGTGTCGCACGTAAACCCGGTCGGGCAGCAGTGCACGTGGTCGTCACAGCACACAGCCTGGGATGGACAGCGCAGGGGTGGTAGGCCCAGGGGCTTAGCTCGCTGCCCCCCCCTCGGCTCAGCCCGGCCCACCCACCACTCCGGGCACCTGGACAAACGGGCAGCAGCCCCAGGCTCCTGTCGGGAGGCGGCAGCAGGTGTAGTCCTCGGGGCAGCTGGTCTCCGTGTCACACTTCACGTCCTGCACTGGGAGTCGGGCAAGGAGGGTACATCAGCAGTGGCCCTGGGGGCCCCCCGGAGGTCACCCCCTTTGTGGGCTCCATCGCTGGAACCAGAGGTTGAGGATGGAAGGCCACCCCTTGCTGGGAGCCTAAGGCGAAGCCCAGTGCGGAGAAAGGGGGGCTGTGCCTGCCCTGACCCCTCCCTGCAGCCACCAGTGCCCGCCCCCCATATCTGCTCCCCGAATGGCCTGGTGGAGCGCTGCCCCTGGTGCGGGCGGGAGGGCTTGCTTCCGGTACCTCTGCGAGCCGGCAGCTTGGTGAGGAGGTCCGTGGCGTTCTCCTGGGAGAGACACTTACTCTGGGCCAGGTCGCACACCGTGTCCTGGGGGCAGCAGTGCAGGTGGTCGGAGCAGCAGATGGCCTGGGCAGAGGGAGGCAAGGGTGGGTCTCTGTGGCACAAGGAAGTCAGGCCGACAGCTGGCACTACTCCAACCTCCCACTAGGGGGTAGCGTATGTCCTGAGCAGCCAGGCTCCCAGGGACCTGTCGGCCAACCACGGACCCCGGAATCCCTGCCAGGTAGGGGTCCAGGCCGGTGGCTGTGGGCACGGAGCCCACCGGGGGACAGCCCCTCACTCACATTCGGAATTGGGCAGCAGCCATACTCCCCGCTAGGCATCTCGCAGCAGGTGGAGCCGTCGGGGCACTGGGACTGTCCGTCTGGGCACAGGACCCCTGGGAGGGAGGGGAGAGCGGTGTGAGGGGCGGGGCAGCCAGGGGGGAGGGGGGCTTTTCCTCTCCTTCCTCCCAACCCCCACCCATCTCTCCACCTGCTGCGTCAGTCCTTCGGGCCGGGACCTTCTGTGCCAGGGGGAGGGAGCCCGTGGCGGTGAGGCAGCGGGTATGGGCCAGGTCGCAGGTGGCACCTCGGGGGCAGCAGTGCGTCTTGTCTTCGCAGCAGGCAGCCTGAGAAGAGACGGTCCTGCCTCTGTCCCGGCCCCCTCCCGCCCCCTCCCTCCCTTACCTTCCCAAACCTGTACCTGGGGTATGGGGCAGCATCCCCAGGCGCCGTCAGCCATAATGCAGCACGTGGAGGAGTTGGGGCACTCGAACTGGCTACCGGGGCACTGGACAGCACCCAAGGGGTTGGCGTCTGTGGAGAGGATGAGCCGGGATTCCACAGCCCGGTCCGTGAGGGTCATTGCCGCCGCCGTCACCCAAGGAGCTGCAGGCACAGGGCCTACACTCCCAGCCACAGGGGCGGGGCAGGGAGGGGGGCTGGCACTAGGGCTCAGGCACTTTTTAAAAAATCCTCACCCAGGGATATGTTTGTACTGGTTTTAGAGAGAAGGGTGAGAGAGAAACACCCATCAGTTACCTCCCGTACACGCCGGGCTAGGAATCGAACCAACAACTTAGCTACGTGCCCTGGCCGGGAATCAAACCTGCAATGTGGGTGTGCCACGGGACGACGATCCAACCTACTGAGCCACCCAGCCAGGATCCCGGGCACAGTCTCCCACAAGCCAGGCCTTGCTTCAGAAATACGGCACCGGACAGGGGCATCCATCGACTGGGGTGGCATCAAACCAGCCCCGTTTGGCCTCTCCCCACCCCTGCAATGCCTGGCTCTAGGCCTGTGGGCTCGAGTTCCCTCCTTCCCCTCTCAGCCCCAGGGCTGCCCCTCTATCCAGAGCAGGGGGCCTGCTTAGTACAGATGCCACACGAACAAGGACGTGAGAGCAGAAATCAGGGTCACCCAGCCCGCGGGGCTCCCGGGTGCTCCAGCTCTCCACGCTGCCCCTCTGCCTGCCCTCCCCCTCCCTCCCTACTGCACCTGGTCTCCGGAAGCAGGACTGCCCGTCCGCACTGCAGTGGAAGCCCCTGGGGCAGCAGTGGCGGCCATCCCCGCACGACACAGCCTATGGGACACAGACGCTGGCGTTGACGAGGCCCGTCTACCCGCGGGAAACGCAGAACTGAGCCCCTCCATCGAGCTGGGGGCGCCCTCACCTCTGGGAAGGGGCAGCAGCTGGAGGTCCCCAAGACAGTGAGGAGGCAGGAGTAGCCAGGAGAGCAGTGGGCATCCACCTGGCAGGGCCTGCCCAGGTGCCTGCTGAGCGCTGTGGGCCACTCGTCCTGGAAGAGAGGAGAGGGTAAACCAAAGGACCCGGGTTTGGCCGCGTCCTCTGGCCCCCCCAACAGGACCTTTTGGGGAGTCCCGGCTGCCAGCGCTTGCCTGGGCTGAGGCCCTCACCACAGGATTGCAGCAGCTGTAGCTGGCTCCTCCTGGGTCCAAGCAGCAGGCCACGGGGCAGCGCTGACCATCTGGACACTGCGTTCCAGCCGCCAGCCCTGACACTAAGGCCACCAAGCTCACCAGGGTCCACATGGTCCACCTGCAAAAACACCAAGAGGCATTTGGCAGCTAGCTTGGGTCCACGCCACCTTTGGTTCTGGAGCCAGTCTCCTAGGCCCAGGCCTGGGACCGCGGAGCCTCCTCACAACGCCTCATCCGGGGAGGAGGCGGGATGTGGGGCCTGAGATCCCACTTCCTTTTTTTTTTTTTTTTTTTTAATATATTTTATTGATTTTACACAGAGAGGAATTAAGAGGGACAGAGAGTTAGAAACATCGATGAGAGAGAAACATTGACCAGCTGCCTCTTGCACACCCCCTACTGGGGTTGTGCCCGCAACCAAGGTACATGCCCTTGACCGGAATCGAACCCGGGACCTTTCAGTCCGCAGGCCGACGCTCTATCCATTGAGCCAAACCGGTCCCGGCAGAGATCCCACTTCCTACATGGGTCCCGTGTGTGTGTGTGTGTGTGTGTGTGTGTGTGTGTGTGTGTGTGTATGTGTGTGACACATGCAGGAGTGCGTGCACACCCATGTACATAAATGCTGACGTGAGTATGAGTGAATCTGTGTCCCCACCATGTGGCGGATCCTGGGTGAATGTGTGGAAATGTCATGTGAGAGTCCGGAAGGCTTGTGGGTTTTGTGGGTCTGACCTGTGGGTCTAGGCTGCCTCTGGGGTGTTGGGGAGGCATCAGGAGCCACGGGAAGACACACTGGTACAAGGACCGAGTCCCTCTGAGGAAAAGCCAGGGTTTCACTTCCCCAGCTCGCCCCTCTGCGTGTCTCCCTGCCTGATGCTGTGCTCACACCTGCACCCTGCCCAGGCCTGTGGGTGGCGGAGGGGCTGTCACATGACAACATGGGAAACCACGGGGCTGAGGAACGAGAAAAGGGAAGTGGAATCTGGGCTGCCCTCCCCAGAGGCCAGTCACAGCCTGCTCACTGACCATCCCCCCCCTCATCAGGGGAAAGGGACACACAGGCTGGGTCTGGCCCTGTGTTCAAAGGGCCCTCAACTCCACCAGGACCTTCCAGACTCTCCAAACACAGCCTCCCACCCTTGCCGATGGCCTGGGCCGAAACGCAGCTGCACATGCTGAGAGCCTACGAGAGCCCGCTCTGGGGTCGGCAGGAGGAACCAGTCCAGGGATGGGGCACAGTCTCTCATTTCCTAAACAACTTTCCCCCAAGCTCAGCCAGCCAGCCCCACTGGTTCAAGGCCGGGCCCAGAGGTTACCCTGCCTCGAGGGGCAAAGACTGTTTGTTGAGTCTCTTGGGAGCCAGTGTAAGCAATCCACATTTTCTTTCTCCTTTGTAACCACCATCTGACCTAGTAATTGTCACCTTTCCTTTCAAAGGAGGAAACTGAGACTCAGAGATGCTACGTGACATGCCCATGTCATATACCAAGTGCTAGAGGTGACAGGCTGTGATGGCTCCAGAGCACATGGGGCCTGGGTTCGTTTCTCGTGGTACCACACATAGTGCCTGGGGATGGAGCACAAACCCCCGGAGGGTAGAGGACTTGGGTCCAAGCGGAGGAAGGGGACGGAAGCATCTCCTGAGCAGAAGCTGCCAGGATACAGCCCTGGTCCTAGTCCTGGAATTGCCACCGCTGATATGAGAGCCTCCGAAGTCGCCCCTCCACAGCTCCTGGCCAGGTCAGGATGAGGACGACTGTCCTAGACCTCAGCCCCTCGCAGCCTCTCCTCCACACCCACAGCTCCCAGGCCACTGCTTGGCTTAGGCGTGCCAGCGCAGATGTCCAAGTACTCAGGTCCCTAATGATTTATTTCCCTTCCTGGGTATCCTGAGGTCAGTACAGAGGTATGTGTCTACTGAATACATATGTGTCCACTGAGTACACATGCAAGCACACACACTCAGGACCGGAGATGGGGGAGCTGGGAGCCTGATTCCCCGCTGGTGGGCTTTGAGAGGCGGCCCCTCTCACCCCATCCCATGCACACTGCCAACACCGAGAGGGAGCCCCGGAGCCTCCTCCAGCCCCGGCTCTGTCGTCTTCCACTAGGTGGCACCCCCCCCACTCTGAGTGTCAGGAGCACGCGATTCCCAACATTCGAACCAACCCAACAGCGAGGCGCGTGAGCGAGGGGAAAAAAGTGGCGGAGAGGCGGAAGTTAGCTTGTCCCAACCCACAAGAAAGGAAGTAAGAGAGAGCCAGGCGTAACCACTGCCAAGTCCTCGGAGAAGGCCAGGGTCTCCAGGCTCCCTGCCAGTCCTCTGCGCCCGGGGCCAGGGAGGGCGCCTCTCCCGTCCCCGGCCGCGGGAGACCGGCTACCTACCTACCTACCTACCTACCTCCCGCCACCACCGCGGCAACCAGACGGGGGAGGCGGAGCCGGCTCACAAACAGAGGGTCCCTGCTTTAGGGGCAGGGGCTGCAGCCTGCGGAATGCTAGCAGGAAGAGAAAGAGCGCCCCTGCTAACGGGGGTCACTGCCATTCTGCTTAGATTGCCGCCACCCTTCAAAACACTCCCTCCTGCACCGCAGACCCCAAAGACGACACTCTCAGCGTCTTCTCTTGCCTCCCGAAAAAACTCAAGCCTCCACCCGCCCCCTGCCCTCCTTTCTCCCCCCCCCCCCCCCCACATCCCTGCGGCCGGGGCCTTGGGAAAGAGCGAGCGAGAGCTCCGCGCTGCGACCTCCTCACCTGCGTCCGGTTCCGCGCTCGCTGGGCACCAGCAACCCTGCAGCTCACCGACCCGGGCCCTGCAGCGCGATGGCCCCGCCCACCTCAGTTCCCATTGGCCAGATGTCCGGGTTGTCGAGCTCCCATCGGCTGCTCATCGACGTAGAGGCGGGGCCATCCTAGAATGCCTGGTTTCTTTTCTGTTCCATTCACTCCCCGCCCCCTTTCCTAGGGATCATGTGACTGGAGGGTCATGTGACGGACGCCCCGGCTGGCTCTTTGCCTGGTGCGGGTGCCGGGTGGTTTGCCTGAGGCGGGGCGGCGCCGGGCCACAGACATTGACAGCAGCCAAAGGAGCTGCTTCTTAGAGTATAAGTTTAAGGGCGTTTGCGGGATGTTCGCTTCTGGATCTGGGACCCTTGTCCATCCTGTTTCGTTTCTATTCAACAAACTCAGATTGAACGTTGGGCTGAAAGAGAGTTGTGAGGGCAGGGATAAACAGCACTCCGGCCCTTTCCTCAAGGTGCCCACAGAGGGCATGGGTTGTGGGAGGGAGACAGACTCAGATTCCATCTAATTTAAGGTACATGGTCGTGTGCCAAGTGCGCGGTGTGTGTAGGGAAACAGCAGTAGGTTAGCTCTGGGAAGGGAAGTAAGGGAAGAAGATATTTAATTTCATCTCCGGGGCACCCTTTTGAGCTGAGTCAGAAGGTTTTAACTCAGGTGGGAGAAGTTGGAGAAGTGGTTGGACAGGGGTTGTAGGGAAGAGCATTAAGAAACGAGATGGAAAGGGCAGCCTTGGGCAAGGATTGAGTGCCAAGTTCAATGTCATGGGTGTCTGGTGCAGGGTCAGGCAGGGGGATGGATGCCGAATGGGAGTGGCTTTGTAGTTTCAGGTAGCGCTGCCTTCCAGGAATTGACATGGCTGGGGTGGAGAGAGAAATGGACAGCACAGAACAGGTTAGCCAACCGTAGGAACCAGACTGTTCAGTGCCCAAGGGCCCAGCCCAGACTGAGGCTGGTGATGGGGAGACTCACCAGGAGAGAGGAGAGGCCCACAGCAAGTCTGGTGCTGAGCCTTGGAGGAAGGAATGAAGATGCTGTAGGCTAAGCGAAGAGCTTGAGCTGAGGGACAAATCCCAGTCTGGGTAGGGAAGGAGTGGCAGGGCTGAGGAATTGTGTGGCAGTGTGCTCAGCCTGGGGCTAGGGAGAAACCAGACAGCGGATAAAGCTCCTGCTGAGAACTGGGACTGTTCTGCACACTGGTGATATTAGGGACAAAATAGAATATTGGTGACTAGCTATAAGTATAAGAAATACTAATCATGCTCTTCTGTTAACGTGATTGCCTTGTTCCGATGAAAGAAAGGACATTCTAACCTGGCTGGAAGTTGTACGCCCCTGGGACTCAGGTGTCAACCTTGGGCCTGGCAGTCAACTTTGGACCTGAGTCAACCTTGGAATGTGGTCCATTCTCATTCAAGAACTGCCTATTATCTGCTCAGCCAGCATTGCTCATCATTCATGTTTCTATCTCTCTCCTTCTCCCTTCCTCTCTGAAATCAACAAAATATATATTTTAAATGGATGCAGTGAACCTTCACTTCCTTGGAGATTGCATAGAGCCCCTGAAGACTGCAGAACCTCCCCCTGTTCCTCAAGAAACACTACGGCCCTGGCTGGTTTGGCTCAATGGATAGGGAGTCAGCCTGCGGACTGAAGGATCCCAGGTTTGATTCTGGCCAAGGACACATGCTGAGTTGCATGCTTGATCCCCAGTAGGGGTCATGCAGGAGGCAGCCAGTCAATGATTCTCATCATTGATGTTGCTATCTCTCTCTCCCTCTCCCTCTCTGAAATCAATAAAATATATATTAAAAAAAAAGAAACACTACAGTATTCTTATACCTTCCAATTCAGGAATGTTTCTTTCTCTCTCTCTCTCTCTCTCTCTCTCTCTCTCTTTCTCTCTCTCTCTCTTTGCTTTTAAGGAGGGAGAATCATTTTGTGATCAGGGAAGAAAAGCAAAAACAAAACAGAATTTAAAAAAAGCAAAGTTCCAGAGTCACATAAAGATTTGCCCTATTCGCTGAGCCTCGCAGCTCCCTTTGACCAGGCCTTGTGATTTTTAATGTTGACAAAACCAATTGACTACAAATGTGAGGGCTTATTTCTGACTTTCAGTTCTATTCCACTGAACCAGGTGTCTGTCCTTATGTCAGTACTACCCTGCCTTGATTACCATAGCTTTGTAGCAAGTTTTAAAATTAGGAGAAGTAGGAATCTTCCAACTTCTTTTTCAATATTTTTTTGTTAATAATTCTGAGTTCCTCGAAGTCCTATGTGAATTTTAGGATCAGTTCCTGCAAAGAAGA